TTTTATCAGTTTACAAATTTTTGATATCTCTTATAGGAGCCGAGATAATTGAGCTCAAAGTGCAAGAGTGCGGTGGCGCTCTGTGAGATTGTTGGTGGCCGCGGCGGACTAGAAAAATCCTAGCAGCCTTGGCGAACAATAACATATTTTTTAAAAAATACAAACTACAGTAATCTCCTTCTCCGAAAAACCCCAGAATTACAAGGTTTTTTTTTGAAAATCCATTTTTTCTCCAAAATTCAAAAGTTCTTCAAAAAGTTTCTTGATTTTTCGCACTCCGAGAGCCATCACCTACGTCACACAGATCTCATTTTTCCATCAAAATTCTCGTCATACTTTGCTGGCGAGACTTTACACATTTTTTTTTCACTTTGACACTTGAAACCTTAGTGCAAAATGTACAAAAATTCTCTTTTTGTGATTTCAAACAGCACAAAACAGAACTTTGTAGCATTTTCCTATTGATAAGATAAAACGTATTGTCTGCAAGTTCTAATCTTTGCATGAATTTATAGTCCAGAATTCCAAAACCACTTTCCAGCTCAATTTTGTGGTTTGAATCGAACTTTTCCCCCTTCTGCTCCAAAGTCCCTCCTCTTACCGACTGCGCCATACAGACGCTACGGACAAGAGCGCGGCGGTGCTCGCCCGCGGCGTCCGGATGGCGCAGTGGTGAAGAGAGATGACTTTGGAGCAGAAGGATGACAAGTTCGATTCCTTTGAGGGTTAATAGGTTTTTCTAAACGTAAAAATCAAAATTTCAGGTTAAAACTCTTTTTGGAAACTTAAGAAACTACTTTTCCCGCAATTTCCAGTTTTTTCGGGTCCAAAGTGTCAAATTACATGTGAATTGCATCTTATTATCATCACGCCACTGGAAATAGACTACTCGAGGAACTATGATAAATTTATCATTGGGTGAGGTGGAAATGATGTACGCGCTGATAATTATCGGAGTTTTTTTGGAAATGTTAAGCATGGGTGTACTGAAAAAAGTGATGATTGATGACAGTTTTTTAAGGCAGGAGCTAACAAAAATTTAAATTTAATTAAAAATTTTAAGTTTCCAAAAAAGATTTTTAACCAGAAAATTTGATTTTTACGCCTAGAAAAACCTATATACCCTCAAAGGAATCGAACTTGCCCCCTTGCTGCTCCAAAGTCATCTCTCTTCGCCACTGCGCCATCCGGACGCTGCAGGCGGCTTCCAGCGCCCGACCGCAGCGTCCGCATGGCGCAACTGGGTAGAGAAGTGTCTTTGGAGCAGAAAGGGGAAAAGTTCAATTCGTTTGGGCTGTAATAGGTTTTTCGGGGTGTAGAGTTTGAATTTTTGAGTACCTAACCCCGGAAATTGAATTGGAAAGTGGTTTTTTGAGTCTGAATTGAGTTCAAAGCCTCCAAATGAGATATTGACTGTTGTTTATTCTTTTTTGAAAAGTTCCTAAAAACAATTTTGGACAAAAAAATTTCTTTCTCAAAAACTTCTTTCCAAGTCAATTTTTGCTTTTCGAGACGCAAAAATATGAATTTTACGCCTAGAAAAACCTATATATTCTCAAAGGAATCGAATTTGTCACCTTGCTGCTCCCAAGTCATTTCTCTTCGCCACTGTGCCATCCGGACGCTGCGGGCGGCTTTCAGCGCCCGACCGCAGCGTCCGCATGGCGCAACTGGGTAGAAAAGTGTCTTTGAAGCAGAAAGGGGAGAAGTCCGATTCCTTCAGAGACATATATGTTTTTGAATATGTGAAGATTGATTTTTCATGCTTTGGTAGATCAAAAAATTTGTTTCAAAAATCAAAAAATGCTGACAATTACTTTGATGTCCAAAATATGCAATTTTCCGGGTCTTCAGATTTTTCCAATCTTTTTTTGGTTTTTCAATTTTTTGCGACTTTTGTGGTTTCTGCGTTTTTTCCTCTCTTCTTGAATGGATGTTTGATGATTTGTGATCTTTGTTTTAGTGATTTTTAAAAGGTCAGACAAGGGAAATTAGATTTTTAAAGGGTAGATCAAATTTTGGAAAAAAAATCTAAATTTTCAAAACATTTTCAAAAACCTGGAAACTGTTAAGAATAGACTCCAAAGACGCAGACAACGAGACACTCTAACTGTCTGCGTCTCTTCGAAATTTCAAATACACAAATTTCCCTTCAATTCTGTCCAAAAACCATCTTTCTAGCTGTTCTAGAACCCGAGATATAGTGATTTGAAGTTTTGAAGGCGAGAGACGCAGACAACAAGACACACTGCGTCTCTCGCAAGCGGCAAGAGAGACGCAGACAGCTAGAGCGACTAACTTGAGATGGCTATATCTCGAGTTTTAGAAGCGCTAGAAACTTGGTTTTTGGACAGAAGTGAAGGCCTGAATTTTGGCTACCAGCTGAGTGAGTTACAACCTACTGGCCAGGCGCTTAGGCAAGATACAGTCCTTTTACAAAATGAAAGGAGACGCAGAGAAGCTAGAGCCCTCTTGTTTCTCTGCGTCTCTCCAGACCAACTTTAAAGGCGCATAACTCGTTTCAACGGCAATCAAACTCCATGAAAATGATATAGTTTTGAAGGAAATTTTGAGGGCTTCTGAATGATGTAGCATTTAGTATAAAGGCTACAGTAACCAAAAAAGTTAAAAAAAAAGAAATTGTAGCGAATTCGTAAACTATTTTGGTTTATAAAAAATGCCATATTTCCTAAACAAAAGTCAGGTACATATTTCCCGAGAACCTGTCCAGAGATCATTGTACCCTTGCGTTCCTCTTCTTTCTAATTCTCCAATGATGACAAAAATTATCGTGTCGTCTCTTGTTCCTCTGCAAACCGTCATCAGTGTCACACCATCTGAATTGCTGATTATCACGTAGGCGCACTGTCGGGTCTACGTGACTTTTCATAAGAACTGTAGAGAAGGGGGCGGAGTCAGACGGGGGAGAAGAACACGGGAAGAAGAAGTGATAACTGTCTCGTAGTCTCTCTCATATATATAAATAATAATAGATTTTCAGAAGAAGAACATGTCACATCAGTTTTGATTCATTCCTTTGTAAATACATATTTAAAATAGCCTTACCGGAATTCCTATACTTTTTAGCTTCAATAAATGATCTATAGCTTGAGCTCAATTATCTCAGTTCCTGTCAAAGATATAAAAATGTGGTCAACTGATAAAATGTTTATCATATTATTACCAACATTTTATTAGTTTACATATCTTTGATATCTTTTATAGGAACCGAGATAATAGAGCTCAAAGTAAAATAGTATGTACCGTAGTTCACAATAGGTACCTCATTCAGAAAATTGTCTATATCTTCCTTCATTTTTGAGCTAGAATTTCGGTTTTAAAGCATTAGACTTAACATACAATTTCCTTCAAAATCCGATTTTCATAAGTTATTGTTCTTTTTCAAAAATTTCAAAAAAAAAACACAAAAATGGCTTTGATGAGTTGCATGTCATGCGCTTAGTCTGTGAGCTTAGTTATCTCAGTTCCTATAAAAGATATCAAAGACTTGTCAACTGATAAAATGTTTCTGATATTATGAGAAACATTTTATCAGTTGACAAAAATTTGATATCACGCACATAGAAGCTGAGATAATTGAGTGCTTACAGTAGTCTCTACTTCTATAGCTTGATCACTTTATGAACTTTGCCATTGTTCTCTCTCTCTCTCTCTCTCTCTCTCTCTCTCTCTCTCTCTCTCTCTCTCTCTCTCCCGACATTCAAAATATTGCTAACCGATCATCGCCATCATCGTTTCGCTGATTCATTATTCTTACAGTTTCTTTTGCAATAGTCACGTTCGCTTCTCTTTTTTGTCATCGTCCAATTTCCGTTTCCAATTGACACCTCCTCGTCCTACGTGACTTTAGTGCCAAAAATTGACTGTGTAGCTGGAAAGAATACCCCTAACTCTCCGTAAAATCATCCGAACGCTCTGGTTGGTTTTTGTACAGAATTGCTCAGAATTTCAGCGCTTTCTGATCGATCCGAAATTCTAATGTTGCCTTCTGAAGGATTAGGACGTGTACCCGGTATGCACTCACTTCTGATCTATGCTTAGAAAACCAAACATCGTGTTCTGATCATGAGAGAGAGAGAGAAGAAAAACGCGGCCTGATCTTTCCATCCCTATAATAGGGGGTCCAAGGTACATTTTAGATATAGTATGATACCAAAAAGTGCTAACTGGTCTAAATTTGGTAAGGTACAGTACCGATCAATACGATATGCAAAAATGTACTTCTCAGCGGTTTCTCGGCCATTTTCAAAAGTCTGGAGCCCTAATATCAGGGTTCCTATCACTTCGAAAATTTAGGAGAATGTAAAACAGAGTTTTCCAAAAATTCCTAGTTTATCAGCTATTTGCAGCTATCAAAAATTTATGTTGATTTTGAAAAAAGTTATGGTCAAGAATACAATACTAGTACAGAACAGACATATGGATTCAAAATTAGGCGCCAAGCTTTGCTGAAAATGTTTTTTTTTCTGAAAATACAAAATTTTCCCTATCATTCTGTCTAATTTTCATCGTTCTAGCTCATCTAGTTGCCGAGATATGATCATTTGAAGTATCGAGTGTCTGCGTCTCTTCAATAAGTTAGAGACGCAGCGTGTCTCGTTGTCTGCGTCTCTAGCCTTATGAAGGGGCGTATCTCAGCTCCTAGACCCGCTAGAAACTTGATTCTTTTTGCTTACTGATTAGCTAGTCGGAAACTCTCCGATCAAAAATTCCATCCAACCGGAACCAGAACCAGAGATCTCAAAAAATCACTTCTGGCGCCATTAGCATTAGTTTGTCATCCAAAGAACCTTGACCATCTTCCCTCTTCTCATTTTCCCACGCTCCCCCTAAACTTTCATTTCCTGCTAACCCCCTCTGTCTACCTGCAAAAAGGCACGCCGTCTCCACGTGATTTCCAGGCTCCGCCCTTTTTTTCCTTCTCTTATCCCTTCTTTCCTCAATGAATGGGTTTTGCAGGCGACAGCAATCGTACATATATGTCATCCTCTCCTCTTCTGCCACCAGAATCATCTCTTCTAATCATGGAACGACTCGGCGAAGTGCGTCTGTACCCCTCCACTTCGATTCTTGACACTAACATGACGGCGTGCCTTCTCACCAGCGCCTTTCTACCGGATACGGTACAAATGGCCGCGTGGCCACTGCTCGCATGGATTAGTTTGGTGAGTTTGGGGCTCTTTGGATTGAGGGGGGAATTGCTGATCAATATGAGCCAAATTTTATAAAAATTGAAAATTTTGGTATGAGAAAATTGGTCCAGACAGTCTTTAAATTGATTCCTTTGAACTGTAGAAAATACAAAAACGGAGAAAAACATCGTTTTTAAAAAAATCATGTACGTGCAAATTTTGAGATAAATTTGGTACTGACCATAACTCATCCAATTTCAGTCCAAATTTAATTACAACACATTTTTTGAGTTTGCCTTGACTTGAGCTTCAAAATGAGTATAAACATGACTAGGTTAAGCAGTTTTCGATTTTTCGAGGCTCCATGCGCCTTTAAACACAAAAATGAAGTTTGAGCAATTTTCTTGACTTTCTTGACTTTTGATTTCAATAAATTTTATCAAAATTTAAAAAATCTTCCAGGTCATCTTCGGCTCCATCTCGCAATACAGCATTTTCACCGGTCTCAGTCTATTCCGATCCGTCAAAGAACTCCGCTCGGAACGCTCCTCAAAACTCGACGTTCTCGACATTTTTCGATTCATCGCAATCCTATGGGTGATGCTGAATCATACCGGAAGCGAAGGACGTATCGATATTCTGGAACGACTTCCATCGGCCGACGCCTTCAAGAGTGCAATGCATGATCATCCGATTTTTGGAGCTCTGATGGGCAACTCCGCATTGGGCGTCGAGATTTTTCTAGTGCTTTCTGGACTTCTGGCAGCGAGGAGCTGGCTTAGGAACGCTGATCAACCATTTCTCAACCACTGGAGATCATTTATCACTCGACGACTTTTACGGTTAGCTCCTTCAATGTTCATTTTCGTTTATATTGCTGCTGGACCAATAATGGAAGCCCTCCTTCCAAGATATTCAAGCTCAATGGTATCCGCATGTGGATTCTGGGGAATTCTCTCCCACGTCACCTTCACATCTAACTGGCAGTCTACACCAACATGTATGGGATATCTTTGGTATTTGGGTCTTGACATGCAGCTGTATATGGTGGCCCCAATTTTTCTGAATTTGCTTCATAAATCCCCAAAACGTGGAATGATTCTGACAACTGTGACGATAATTGCATCCATGTTCATTCGTGCGGGTTACTGTACTGCTTATGGTACTTGCAACAAGTCTGATGTGGATATTCCATTCATTTCGTACCCGGGACAAGATGCCGAGACATTGAAATCAATCTACGCCGGGCTATGGGATATGTACTCGAGACCGTATACAAAGTGTGGACCGTTCTTGATTGGACTCTTGTTGGGATATGTTACGTTTTCGAGTCAGGTGAGTGTTTTCAAAATTGCTAGTTTTCAATTTTCACTATATTCCCAAGATTTTCAAATTGAAACAATGCAAATTTCATGAAAAATTCCGAATGCTGAAAATATTCCATAAATTCAATTTTTGAATTTTTGACTCTAATTTTCAAAAAATCATAACTCGAGCAATTTTAAAACGATTTTTATGGTTTTTGCAACCAAAAAATGCCATTTTTCTGAAATTTTTAAAAAATAATAATTCAAAAAAAAAATCAGATTTTCATCACAGCAAACATAAGCGGAAAATTAAAATTTTGAATCTTCGACTGAAATTTTTTTGAAAATGTCATAACTTGGTCAATTTTCAGGGGATTTTTATGATTTTTACACCAAAAAAAACGCCTTCTTTCTAAAATTTTAAAAAACATAACATACTGCAAGCGCTTCAAACTTTATCACAGCAAAATAAGCGAAATATTACGAACTTTGAATTTTCAACTGAAATTTTTTTGAAATTTCGAAATTTTCAGCACATCATGTCTGCCGCCACATCGAAGGCACTCCTCCGTGGATCATTATTTGTTGCGATTGTGACGATTTACGCGATTCTTCCCGAATATTGGAATCCAGACGCCGGAAATACCGTATACAACACCATCTACACGGCCGTCTTCCGATCCGTCTTCGCGTTGGCCATCGCTGGAATGATTGCCGCGTTGTATTTCAGACAAGAATAGTGAGTTTCAGTTGATTTTCAGAAATTGGAAAAATTGAAAAAAAAGGAACATTTTGATATGCGAATCGAGAAAATCGGTTGAAAATGAAGCGAGTTAGAGGGTTTAAAAGTTGGGAGGAAGATTTTGGAAATGTTGAATTTTTAAAGTTTTCCGAATAATCTGAAAACTGTGAATAACGAAAAAATATGGAAAATGAGGAACATTTTGGATCAAAATGAGCCATAACTTTCTTAGTTTTCATCCAATTTTTTGAATTTTTAGCTTAAAATAAAGCTAGAATCTTGAATTTTTAAAAAAAATACACATTTTTTAGGTTTTCCTTTGAAAATGAAACTAAAAACGTTTTCAATTTTTTTGGTTCTAAAAATTTTTTTTTAATTTTAAAACCCTCTAACTTTGTTAGTTTCCAACCGATTTTCACAAAATCTAGCTTAATATAAAAAGCAAAAATTCTGTTTTCAATAAACAATAAAAATTTTCAGCCGCCCGACCCATCCAATCTTTGCAATCCTGGCGAAACTCACCTACAACGCCTATCTCCTCCACATGCCAGTCGTCTACATTTTCAATTGGCTTCCATTCCTTCAAACCGCCACTTCACCCATCCATCTTTTGCTCGTTTTACCCTTCGTTGCTACTTTATCTTTCCTAGCTGCTCTTATTTTTTATCTTTTCGTTGAGGCCCCAATCGGTCATCTGACATCTCAATATGCCACTAGATTAGGCCTCTGAAAGTGGACCAAGAGTATTTCTTAATTTTTTTTGATCTACTTTTCCTGTACGCTTTAAGTCTGCTTTAGGATACTGTAATCTGTCATATATGTACATATTTCTGTCTATTTTTCTTTTTCTTGTCGTTCAAATTTTTGCAAAATTTTGCAAAGTTTTGAGCTTTCAAAATTATACAAAATCCTTGGTGCATTCTGTTTTCTTGTACAATAACGGGTTCCCTTTTATATAAAATGTATTAATTTTTATTGATTTTTTCCGAATCGATTCAAATGTCTCCAATATTCTAAACTATCCGAAGCAATTAGACGTTGACCGTGTCCAGAACGTTCCCGGGCGGCGAGAGCCATTGAGATTCGAGCCACTGCGGACATTGAGGAGAATGGATCCTCGCCTGAAATTTTGATTATCTTGAAATTCAAATTGTTCGGATTCTTTCGGTACTAAGATTGTGAAAAACTGAAGTCTGAAATTTTGCGAAAAAATTTTTTTTGGAATTTTTTTGATTTTATTCAACAAGTGGTTAGGAACTTTTTGAAATTGAAAAAAATCTTGATTTTGATACTAAACACTTGAAAAACAAACTATTTTAAAGAAAGTTGTGGAAGTTTAAAATTTTTGAATTTTTGAAAAAAATGGGACAATTTTTAAAATTCGAGTTTCTAAGAATACTGAGATTTTTCTTTGTAAAATGAACTCTCAATAGGACCCAGGACCCAGGACCCAAAAAAGTCTTACAATCACATTCAGCCACTATCAATCTGGGACAGGACGCCGACGCTTCCTCGAGTTCTCCACCTTGTTGTACGCCATCCAAAAAAATGTCGGCTTGTCTGAAAAATTGGAAAATCTGAAATTCATAATCTTCAAAAATTCAGAAATTCAGAAATTCAAAATCTTCAAAAATTCAGAATCTTCAAAAATTCAGAATCTTCAAAAATTCAGAAATTCGAAATTTCAGACAATCCAGAAATTCAGAAATTCAGAAATTCAGAAATTCAGAAATTCAGAAATTCAGGAATTCAGAAATTCAGAAATCCAGAAATTCAGAAATTCAGAACTTTTCAAATCCCATGAAATGTAAAAATTCTGAAAAACAGAGTTTTTTGAAAACCAGAATTGTCAAGAAATTCAATTTTTCGATAGATTTATGATGTTTTTGGAGCTTCAAGACATTGGAAAAATGCTAAAAATCCTAAAACCTATATAACATTTAAAAAACCGGTAATTTTTGAGCATTTTGAAGTTTAGTGTCCAGATGGCCTAGTGGATTTTTCCACCAATTTTTACCAATCTCGACACCTAGGTTCGATTCCCCCGGGTGTCCAAACTTTTTTTATTTTTGTATGGACCTCAAAAAACTACTTTTTCCCGGTTTGAAATTCAGAATTTCCAAAAAATGGGAATTTCGAATTTTCAGAAAAAATTTTTTCAAAAATTTGAATTTTCAGAAATTAAAAAAAAACCAACCGAATTCGTCTCGAAATCTCTCCAATATTCTCCAAACTCCATCGAAATTCCACCACATTTGCTCCATGATCCTTTAAAATCTGAGCAATCATTCCAATATTTTTTCGCCCATTTACAGCCAACACTTCCACTCCGTCCAAATAGTTTTCGCCCAATTGGGCTCGCTGTTTCACATTCGCTCCAATGTACACATTGCCCACCATCTGTAGGTTTGGCGGGAAATTCGAATTTTTTGAAAAAAAATTGAATTTTGAAACAAACGGTCATTTTGAAGTGGCTAAACGAGAGGCAGCGGCTAAGGAAATTAAGGTAATTTAGCGTGAAAATCATGAAAAATCGGCCTAAAATCATGAGAAGTGAGCCTAAAATCATGAAAAATTGATCAAAAAACCATGAAAAATCGGCCTAAAATCATGAGAAGTGAGCCTAAAATCATGAAAAATTGATCAAAAAACCATGAAAAATCGGCCTAAAGTCTTTAAAAATTGGCCTAAAATCATGAAAAATTGGCCTAAAATCATGAAAAATCCGCCTAAAATCATGAAAAATAGACCAAAAAACCATGAAAAATGGGCCTAAAATCATGGAAAATCGGCCTAAAATCATGGAA